AAAAAAAATGAATGACGGCGGGATCGAACCCGGGCCGTCGGCGTGATAGGCAAGCACGTTACCGCTAGGATAACGCACCATTACAATAATATAATTTAATTAGGAGTATATATTTTGCAAAAGTATCGTTTTAAAAAATTGCTAATTTTTCAATTTCACTGGATATCTTCTCGATTTTCAAATATTCAGTTTTTAAACGATATTTCCATTAATTAGCCATTTACAAAAAAAAAAAAATAGGAATTATTAAAAAAAAAAAAATTAATGTTGGCGGGAGCGAACCCCAGCCGTCGGCGTGCTAGCCAAGCACGCTGCCGAGTAGACAACGCGCTCATTCTAAAAATATATTTTCATTAGGAGTATATCTTCAATATATTAAATAATTTTTTTGATTTGATACTCCACAAGATGTTGCTTCTCCCTTCCGCTCGTTCTAGAGTCGACTAAATTTCAGTTAAACAAATAAAAAACAAAAAATTCACCCCGTCGACTTGATGGACACCTCAGCATTGCGTGTGGCGCCCTCCCCTGCCTCTCCCCCTCCACCCCTTCGCCTCACCCTTCCATCCAAACCCCCAGAACTTAGCCTCTACTTCAATCAACCCTCTTTGGGAACCTCCAAGAGATTAAGAATTGCTGGTCAATATTTTTCTGTCAGCAAATCGATTATTCGTTAACAGTGAATTCGAGAAAATGCAGCTAATGCAATTAGCTCATGGATTTCTGCTAGTGTTTCTGGTGAGTGCTCACATTTGAGTGTTGACCTGATGTACAATAACCTCTAAGTATCAACTCTATTGGCATCCGTATTCTACAACAATCGAAAATAATTGATTCCAGGCGAATTTCGTCGCTGCAGAATTCACAGCTGAAGACTGCAAAACCCTGGGATTCAATAAAGCCATTGTACTCTGCTCCACGTGTGAACAATTTTCAGAATTCAAATTAAATGAAATCCGGCAAGTTCTCCTATCAATTTATTTCCATTGTTTCTTCAATTGTCCGAATATCCGTAGATTTTGTTGTTTAAGGACTCCAATATGGACTATCTGTATTATTATCTAACTGAATCAATGATTTTAATAATTACTGATTCAGGGATCACTGCAAAGAGTGTTGCATCAAGGACGACGACACCTCGACGAAACGATATCCCAAGGCGGTTTTGGAAGTCTGCACTTGTAAATTCGGTGCTTACCCTCAGATCCAGGCGTTTATTAAAAGCGATCGTCCCAAGAAATACAAAAATCTTCAGATTAAATACATTCGAGGCTTGGACCCAGTGATAAAGCTGTACGACGCAGATGGAAAGGTTGAAGACATTCTCGACATCCACAAGTGGAACACAGATTCAGTTGATGAATTCCTTCAGACTCATTTAGCTTGAAATTAAAATGCAATAGCTAGCAATAATTAATTTTTTGTAATATACTCTCCAAAAATACATTTTTTTCAAATTCTAATAGCGACGTAACTCATTTCTAGAAAGATAAGTGCAACTAAAATTTTTTCTTCCGACTCACTTTTCTTAAATAACCAGAAAAAAGATCTCTACAACATTATAATTTATTTAGCATAATTGATTTATTTAATATTGACTTTCATGATACAGAAGAGAAATTAATGAAATACGTGACATTCATTTATGTACTCGGAATGAAACTTCACGTCCTGTCGTCACAATTAATAACACACAAGACAAAAAATGTCTTTCGCATTTCTAGTCACGAGGTTAATGGTCAGAAGAAAAAATAATTCTATCATCGATTAAAAATTGAAGAAAATTCTAAGCCCTATTGGGTAGTGAGCGCAAACTGCACATTATAAAAATGTATAATCGTTTACATATTTATTTCCGTCCGGTTATATTCAATTAAACTCCTTGCATTCTAGCGTTGACTCAATTAACCCTTTCGCTACGGACGCATTCATGGGCGCGCTACTCGCTGAGTGAGCCGTCACGCCAAAAGTATGCATGGCATTGGGTGACCATAGTCACCACTCGTAGCGAAAGGGTTAATGATACAATTCATCTCAATCGGGGATTATAGTTTCTCCTTTACAGCTCTGATAATTCAATTGAATTGTTTATCGACGAGATCGTCTAGCCCGTTGGTGTCCCCTGCCACCGCCCCCACGGTAACCCCTTCCACGATTTTTATTCGCTGAGTTGTTTCCAGAATTGTTCATGGGTGAGTGATTGGGCATTTGATTCGTGGGGGTTTTAGTGATAATTGGAGGATCAGGGACAGTCGGTGTTGATGGAGTGGCTGCAGTGGCCGGTGTTATTGCAGGTGCTGGAGTTGCTGGAGCTGTTGCAGGTGTTGAAACAGCTGGAGTTGTTGAAGAAGCAGAAACAGCTGGTGTTGATGTATTCTGGGGCTGTGGTTTGATCTGAGGAGTTTGTGGGGTCTCCGGTGCAGCCTCTGTCTTCTCATCGCCATCAATCAAATTTCCAACTTCCGATTCATCCTCATTATCAATATCCTCCCAGACATCAGCAGCTTTTTCATCATCCTTCTTGGAAACGTCCTCTTCCACATCCATCTCTGTTTTATCTTTCTCCTCGTCCGATTCGGCAGCCTCCAGAGGATCGTACTTGTCGTCACCCTCTTCCTTACCTTTTTCATCGACTGACTCCTCCAGCTCAGGAGCTTTTTCCTCTTCGGTTGATTTCTCATTCTCTGTGTCGTCTTCAAGCCTCGGGCGTTTTAATTCCCTCTCACCATCCTCAGTGGCTGCAGCCTCTTCTTCCTTCCCTTCGGATGCTGCTTTGGCCTTCTCTTCAGATGATAGCGCAGTGAGTGCCTTGATCTCGCTGAAAAAATTCCTGTAGTGAATCGTAGTCTTCAAGTGAGCATTCATGTCCTCTTGGGTCAGCATGAAACGCTTGCACTTCTCGCAGTGGAATCCTTGGACTTCCTTTACAAGGGATGCACCAAGGGGTAGCTGTTTGTTTCGACAATACTTGAATGTTGGAATCTTCAACACGGTCAAATCCATATTCTCCTGTATATCTGTAATATAGTCGGTCTCATCTGTGAGATCCTCGTCTTTATCGGTGGGCTTCGAGGGAGTCCCTGAATCGTTCTCCTCGTCCTCAGCAGTGCGAACCTCTGACTCTCCCTTAGGGAGCTTCACCTTCTTAGACTTCTTCTGCTCGTCCTGCGATGCTGCCAGCATGTGAGTCGGCGTCAGACAGTGCTCATCATATTCTATTCTCGAGGGGAATTCCTTGACGCAAGGGTGACAGCGAGGATGCAGGAAAGTCTTCAGCTGTTGATGTTTGTCACTCTTTCTGTGACTGGACAACGTTCCATAGAAGTTCAGGTCACACATCGTGCAGTACTCACGAACGTTCAGATCCACTGAGACCTGACAACAAACAATTTCTCATCTTTAATTAAATCACAGATCTATAATTAATTTTTTTTAATGGTTTTACCAATGTTGAAAAGAATATTCGGCGAATATTTACTGAATAATTTTGAAGAATCATTTATCTTTCGATAAAATTCTTAATGGTTTACCTTTTTACCCCGGCGTTTGGAGTTGGTCAAACTCATGTCCCGCTGCTCTTCAGAGACCCTCAACTCGTGGCGCATAAGATCGACCTTGAGCTTGTAGGACTCATCGAGTTTATCCATCATGAGCTGATGGGCACGTCCCCGCAGATGATTTTCAAAGGAAAAGCCATCCCACATGTGCTTATTACAAACATGACAGAACATCTGACTAATGGCAACAGCAGCATAACGACTCTCCGCATGCCTAGCCTCAGACTTCTTGCTACTGCCATCATCCTTCTTCTTCTCAGGAGACGATGTCTTATCACCAGACTCTTTCCCCTCATCCGTTGTTTTCTCCATCTGCGAAGTCTCCATCTCAATATCACCATCATTCTCAGTCTCAACTTTGATCTTGATGTCATCTGTCTCACCTGCTTTCTCGTTGCTAAACAGTTGTATGGATGAATTAATAAAAATCCAGTGTAATAACAGAGAACATCGTGTAATTGTGGGATTATTATCAACAGAAAAAGTATTCATGTGGAATGACTAGAGATAATGTTTGAGAGAATTTCTGAGTTTCTGAGAATTTCAACGTAGTGTCCAGGGCTGTGAAGACGAATTATTGATAATGGAACCCTTGGTAAGGTCACGAAGGACCAAATAAAGAGTCCAACAACCAAAAACTATAAATTATTCTTAACAATCACCAATGCACTTATGTTGTGACCTATAAATTTCATAATTATCGTACATCGAGCGTGCTTGACAATAAATGTTTATCTTTAACATTCGCCTGTTTAGTAAAATAAACTTGTGGCGAGGATAGAAGGATGGATATTGAGTGGATAAAATCCTTACCTTTTAGCAACTGTCTCGGTTTTCAGCATTTCATTATCAGAGTTCTTAACATCCTGCTGTTCCGTTTTGGACGTCTGATTTTGTTTAGCATTTGCTTTAGAGTTTTTATCGTTGCGATGCTGATTTTGCTTTCCATCGGCACGCTGATTGCCGGACTGGGATGGGGCACGAGATTGTTGTGCGGATGGGCCACGTCGGCCGGCGACTCCGTCGCGGGCACGGTTACCCATCTAATTTGTTTCATACGGTTGTTTTTGTATGTTATATGGTTTTTGGAGCGGGTCGAACCGACCCAAGCAACAAAAAATGGTTGAAAAACCAATGTGAGATATTTTTTTTCGATAAAAAAGCATATCTTGATTCGACATCGTCGAATCGAAGGTCATTATTCATTTAACTACAAAAATAATTATTTAAGAGTGACAAAGACTCTGAGAAAACAATCCAGGTAAGACGTGTCGCAGACACGACTTTAATAATATGAAAAAAATGGGAAATTCCGTGAATTCCCGTCCGGTAACTTGGAGTTCGCAACGATTTCAGTCTTTTTTTTTCTGTTTTCATCAATCTATTCACATTTTGTTGGTTAATTCAAACAAAGAAGATTTTTCAGGGTTTAACGAATGGGTTTGAATGTGAGACTGTGATGTCTGATTAGTTGGAGACTCCAATCAGACTCCAGAAGATTCATTATGGAAAATTTGTATTGGGTTTGGAGCGGAGCGACGATGATAAGTGGAGTAAAATATTCAGAGATATAACGATGAGGCCTCTTTAACCATTAGTCATTGTGCTGTTGGAGGATCCTGATAAAGAATAATTGTGGATATATACCTTGTTGTAGGGTTGAGATCGTTGAATCTTCATCGAGTTCCCTCGGCTCTGTCTGTCGTTGAAGCGACCTGTGGGCGAGCTGAAGCCCTGCTGTCCTCGGAAGTTAGGGCCGTTCATATTGTTGCTCAGGCTCAGCAACGATGGTACCTGATATTCAATCGTATCAAAAAATGTCAAAAAATGTTTGCATTAATGCAGAAGGAATTTAGAAAGGCAGAAAGTGTTACCGGTGGTGAAGAGTCCTGCTGAGTCCTCAATAAATTGCTCAAAAGATTGCTAGCGATAACCAGCTGTGCCTGTGGTGAATTCAGGGAGAGATTGTTATTCGGTGTTGGTAGAATTCCCCTTCCTGATGGCATTACTCCGCTTTCCCATGGGCTGACTCCTCGATTACCAGGATTGCCACCTCCAGAGCCACCCATTCCACCCCCAACCCCAACATTGCCACCGCCGCTCCCTCGGTTAAAAGGACTTCGATTATTACCGAATGAATTCCTCTTTATACCACGATTGAACGACATTGTTGCTACCTGAAAAAAAAATACCAACGCTTATGTATTTCTGTGCTCAATCGATACCCACACCCACATCATCCAACCCACTCCAATTTCACCTCAAACCTCACAATACCTCAACGATATTTCACGCCGAAAACAAACCCCCCTTAAAAAAAAATCACCAATGAAATATTTAAGTGCGATAAGTGGAGATAGTTTATCTCGAAAAACTATCGATTCAAGGAGCTCATTAAATTTCCGAAAAAAAAAATGGTATTTCTTTCTAAAATCAATAATTTTCAAGATCACTCGATATTCAGCAAAACTACAAAATTCGACTCAGTCCACTTTGAAAGTTTCTCTGTTGAATTGATGAATAAACAAATTGACTTCTAAAACTGTCGAGTGACGCGTAGATGACTCCATAAAAATCCAGAGAATACCGGGCCCATGTCCTGCTCCAAAATGAATCCTTTAAAAATACAAGACTCACCAAAAACGGGAAAATAGACTCTAAATTCCTGATGAAGGTGCAATTCGGTGATATTCAACACAAAAAAATCGACAAATATACGATAAATATGAGCGTGACGCTCAGAGTAAGCACCAAGCTGTAATGGATGCGAAGTTGCGAAGGAGGAAAATCCAAGAGATATTAGAGCAAGTAGGGGTGGACAAAATGGCCGGGCGACACCATCTTTAGGGGGAGGTAGCCGAGGACAGGCGAATGCGCATGACTAGAAAATTTCATTACCGCTGGCGCTGCGAGCGCAACATATTTGAATATCGAATGTGTCACACACATTCAGGTCTCTGTCTCTCTCGTCTCATCTCTGGAGGGATCAATAGGGCCTCTCTTCCAGCGCTTTCCCCTAAAAAAGAAGCACCCCTCGTGCGCAAACGTCAAAATCGAACAAATAGAGTTTGGCCTGTGCAGTCGTCGTTCCAACGTTGCGACCGGACGTCATAATAAAGGAGGAAATACCAGTGGAGAAAATAATAATAGAAATAATTGAAGATGTTTTGCTTTCCTGTTGGTGTTAATTCGATTTCCCTACGCCGATTTCATCCGCAATTGGACATTTGAATTGCCATTTTGTGATAATCAGGTTTATGGTAATTAGTGAATTAATTTGTGGACCGATGATTGTTAAATCACGGGTGAGGTACACTCTGAGGGAAGTGAGGCGGCGAGACAGGCCGCCCTTTTAAATTCCCGTGAGTAATGAGCATGACGCTTGAGGACCCATTCTTTGTCGTCAAAGAGTAAGTTTTCAGAATTATTTCAATTATTCTGGAACAGATGATCGGTTTGTAGGGATTGACACTGGATAAGACGACGTTGGGAGAAAAATATTGAAATAATTAACAAAAATAATTTATTGAATTTCAATATATTTAAATTAAGCGGTTCATTTTGAAGGAATTTACTCGAATCAAAGATTCAACAGAATTTTTATTACAAAATACATGACTTTCGCTGTTCAATTATATGACATTGAGAATTATTCATAAAGTCCTAGAACTTCAATTTATTTATTTATCTACTATCTGTCTATTGCTGCACGAAAAAACGCTCTCAAATTTTTCACCCTCCGACGTGAATTCGTGTTCATTAAAAAGAGCTCTTCCTGTAGTTGACTTATCCTGTTTTATGACTTCCACACAGCAAATTAGAATTCGCTTTCCACACGCGCCGAGTCCCTAGCACAAAGAGCGCTATTTTTGGAGCCGGTGTTTCCCTTTATTTATGTTTTTCGATGGTTTTGGTATTGACAGCGAGGTATGCAAAGCACTGAACAAGACGCGAGGTTTGTACGGACGCTGGAGTGATTCCCAAGTGAATATATCAGCATTGACACCGATTGGATTGGTACCTGGAGGACTTCCGGTGTCTAAAGAGGAACTTGAGTGGACCACGACTGAGCTGAGAAATGCGTTACGATCAATCGAATGGGACCTCGAGGACCTAGAGGACACTATTTATATCCTTTTCATACTGGCTACAGATTATTAACCGTTGAAATCCCCTTGAAGTTTTTGCCTGAAGTTTTTGCCTGAGCCAACGAAAAGTAGATTAAATTAAAAGTAGATTAAGTCTCTCATCGTCCGTTTGAACCGCATCATTGCGCAATTTACTCATTCTTGTAATGTTCACGTCTTTAATCGGCGGTTTATTAAATTATGTATGGAATATTTTCCTTAATTCTGGCACACGTATTGTAGAGAAGAATCCTACAAAGTTTAAAATCGACAACAAAGAACTTACTTATCGCAGAGCGTTCATTGATCAGACTCGCGACGAGGTCAAGGTAATTTTTTTGCGTATCAATAATTCATTGTTCCTCTGATGATGATTGGTTTGAGCTGATTGTTGTGGGTTTCATTGCAGATTATGAAAGATAAGATGAATCTGAGCCGAGGACGAGACCGGGACCGCACAGCTCGCGAGGTACGGCGAAAATTATTCTTTTATTCAATTTCGACCCGTCGATGATTCTTCAATACTCGATTTTTGCCCAATAATCAATTTGGTGTCAATCAATCTGAAGCTTTGTAACAGGATCACGGCAGATGTGTGGAGTAACCTGTTTTTTTTTCTTTTGGTATTTTGTCCACTTCAATTCTCCTGCTATCTTGTTACGTTTTTAAAAAAAATTTTATCATATTAAATTACACAAGATACTTTTTCAATTTTCCTGTGATCCTATTACATTTATTTTTTATGTTTTGTTTTTCAAGGGACCTAGTGTATTTCAAAATATCATTTGAACTTGTCTGGAGTAAACGCCCTCTGGGACAGGCGTTTGAACTCTTGTTAAATTAATTTTTTTAACCTCTTGGTAAATAGATTTGTTTTGGTCGAGAGCGCGCAATTTGTCTCGGATAAAAATGGTTACTTGGGATTAATTTAGTCAGTGAACTCTCAGTTTCTGAGTTTTTCTTGGGGTTCTGATGATCTTGGGTTTTGCAGCCGTTGCTGGATAACAGTCCAGCTCGACCTCCTGTCAATCATGGCACGACCAAATACAGCAAACTGGAGAATGAAGTTGACAGTCCCAGTAGACAATTCCTCGATGAGACGATGCAGCAGCAGGGGATCATGATGAGGCAACAGGATGATCAGTTAGAGATGATTGGAGAAAGTATTGGTACCTTGAAGACTGTTTCACGACAAATTAACTCGGAGCTCGATGAACAAGCTGTGTGAGTTTATGAATTTTATCACACCCAAACCAAACAAGATAAAGTTTATTCTGAATCTGATTTATTCCTGGGATTTTCACCTAGAATGTTTCCTACCTGATAAACACCGAACTGAAGAGATCTTTAGATAATTCTTAAATTTTCTGCAGCCTTTGAAAACAATTGATTTTTATTTTGCAGAATGCTCGATGATTTTGGAAATGAACTCGAAGTGACGGACTCAAAGCTCGATGTAACAATGAAAAAAATGGCTAAGGTCCTCCACATGAGCAATGGTAACTATAGTAATTACATTCCAGCTCCTACCAATTCCGTACCCAATGTATCTGTTTATCCCCAAAAAACTTCTCCACTCTCCACCCTCTCAACAACAATAACCAATTGTTTCATGTGCTCTGCCGACTAAAACACTTCCATGTTAACCCACACATTATTATTTAAACAACCCAAACGATACTGGACAAAAAAATGCCAAAGAATGCAATGCAATTGTGCCACAGATAAATCTTCTATCAGAAAATAACTCAAGGGAAATATCCGATACTCCACCTCCTTCGCTTTGTTATTAACAATTACTCAAAGAAGATATTATAATATCAATTAATATGAAGCAGGAAGAAGTCGTTATTTTTCGGGTGAAAACTCATAGACCGCCTATTTATCGATTCACGTTTATAGTTGATATTTGAATGAGAAAAAAAAAACATTTTGTAAGATTTTAATGGGAAACAAAACGATTGATTCAGTCATAATTTAAAAACTGGCTGATATATTGAACCAATGGAAATGTTATTGATGGTTGTCGATGATTGTTTGGAACCTGATTTATCCTAGATCAAACTGTCCTCCACATGACTAGTCAAACTAGGTATGGGCTTAAACGTTGAATATTATAGAACTAAAGATTAAGATGAATTCGTTGATAGAGTGATTCGTATCAAAATTTTATGTCAATTTTGTGATTCTAATGTGTAATCTATGAGGAAGTTTAGATTGTTTAGACGATATTTATTCGAGGGAACAGTTGTTGATGTTTCGATTGAAACTAAACAGAATTAACGAATGCATGGTAACAAAGAGAAAAAAAAACCTAGATAAATAACTATTAAAGATAGAGCCAAATGTAAGGCCAACATATGTACCTCATGTAGAAGCAAAATTAGATGTTGTATCTTTGTTTAGTTGATTTTAATCCACACAAAACAGATTGGATGAAGGAGATCCAGACTAACTTGTTATTCAAATGTAGAACTCAAACCAAAAGATAAAGAAAATCAATGATTTGACATGAAGTATACAATAAATTAACTTGAGAGAAATCAAGGAGTACGTGAAGAAAAACTGGAACGCATGTGATATTACTTTCCATTTTGTTTTAGATCGGAGACAATGGGTAGCCATTGGAGTGTTGACTGCTATTTTGATAGTGCTAATTATTTTATTTATAATCAAATGAATCAACTTGATTGAGAGATTAGAATATCGGTTCTTCGGGACGCTCTTGTATGTATTACCTAGCACGGTAGATCTCTCAATTCCCTTTTACATTTGTTTCTTATGAAACTACAATAAAAGAACTCTTCAACTATGATGAAACCATCAGGCGACTGAAACTTTACCAACATGACTTCCACCATCATTCTCCAGTATTAAAAAATACCAATAATCCCTGTTATCTTGAGCTAATTTAATTAACGTTAGCTGCTTGCTGAGCCCCAGATATTTTACCTCAACCCCCCACAAATACCCCTGTCTATGTTGAAAATATTAACTTTATTGATTCGATAATAAATTCTACATTCCAAACTACAGTTCAAGTACAAAAATTCCATAAACTTACTGTATATCGATCAATACACCAAATACAAATGTGAATGTAGTTTATTCGACGAAATGCTAAAAAAAAAAACGTTAATGAAGGCAGCAGAGAGATGAAAGGCATCAATGTATCTACACAGAGGCGAAATGATAGGATCAACAAGCAGTTGATTAATTAAGAGGAGACGTGATTTGCGTTGAGAGCTGATTACTTTAAGTCTTTGGTATCGAGTTTAATATTGCGAAGGGAAGAGAAAATAATCGGGCCCCGATGATCTACAAAGAAATTCAACGGAAACACCTAGTGAATTATCTAGACTATTAAGTAGCGCAGTGGAAGAGCCAGATAATTATAATGTTCATCAAATTATCGAATAATTCGATTCCCTGAAAATGCAATAGATAGAAATATTCACTAGATGCTTCAATTGAATTTAATCTTGCATAAGTAGATTAGGCACCCTCGGTAGTAAATTTCGTAATGCTCTCGTTCAATTCAATGATGAATTGGCGAAAAAAAGAGGAAAGCAGGTTGACGATTAGACAGACTCTAACTTAAGTATTAACGAGCCGACCTAGGGCTCCAAACGCCAACGGTTTTGGCACTGTGTGGGCAATGCCTTTCTTATCTCATCGATATTCTCTACGTCATTTCTCAACCGCCCTACCTCCTCCTCGTAATTCTTGACCCATTGGGTCTGCAGATTTTTGGCCTCGGTTAGTGCACGAATTCTCTCATCGAGATTCATGGCCTTAATCTCCTTCTCAGCAGCTGACAGTCGCTCCTCAAGATGATTAAGATCAGCATCATCGATTTCTGGTAGGGCCTGGAGCTCTGCGATGATTTCCGCCACCTGAGCAAGCGTTTTATCCACCTGCTGACTGGCCAGTGCCACTTTCGTCCTAGCCTGGCCCACGCGATGATTAACATCATTCGTGACATTGACGTTTCCACCGACCCTGATCTCATATTTCTTCGCGATGGAGTCCGTCGCCTCCACTCTCGCGTGGAGCTTGTCAGCTTCATTATGAAGCCTCCATGCTTCCAATTTTGTCTTATTGGCTTCGGTTCTGATTACGTTGGCATGCGTCCCAGCATCGTCGGCATTTCGTTGGGCCTCAGAAGTGATATTACGCGCCCCAGCCGCATTATTTTCCGCTCCATTAAGAACAACTTGAGTTTCATCAGCTTTGAGTATTGCCTCCTCTACCATAGCCCGAATTTCCTCAATATTACGAAGTGCCTCCTGCGCCTTGAGTTTCTCTCTCTGCACTTCAGCGTCAAATTCACCCAATTTTTTCAGCGTCTCTTGAGCCTCTGCCAGCGTCTGATTGCCCCTCTTAACGGCGTCCTTGGCCTTTTCATTGGCACCGTCTACCTCTGAGAGGAGTTCAGCAGTGGCTGCCTGCTGGTCTTGCGCCTTGTTCAACAGCTCCTCGCCCCTATGGATCTTTTGCTCCAAATCGTACAGCAATTTTTCGTTGTCCTGAAGCATCAGTTGGGCCTTTTCTTTGAGGGCCAGGCCTTCATTGCTGACGGCCTCCACTTGGTCCTGCAGCTTCTCAATATCAACCGTGGGAACAGTTAGGTCGAGCAGCAGTAGATCCACAGCTTCGTCTGCCACTGCAGCGGCTTTGGCAGCTGCTGTTCCAGTGAGATTCTTAATTTCAATGAAACGATCGTCCAGAATCTCCAATTTATTATCCAGCTCTCTGATTTCCTCGCTGATATTTGCGTACTGGGCGATGGCCTTTTTCGCGAGATTGTAAGCCTCCTGGGATGTGTTCCTCGCCTGTTCAGCAAGGGCATGAATTTTTTTCGCCTCATTGGTGTTGAGATCGGCGAGAACGCGCGCCTCCTGCGCGATGTTCGTCATCTGCTGGTTCTGCTGGCCAACTTGCTCTGCCCGTTTCTTCGCCTCCGCCAGAGCAGACGTTCCCTCAGTCGCCAAGAAATCTTCAGCTTCAGTCAATTGCTCGTGAATTTTATCGAGAACATTCTCAGCCTCGTCAATACTAGTCAGCCCCTCGCTGGTCGTTCTCTTGGCTTCTGTCGCTGTAACGTCAACACCCTGTGATATCCTGTCGATTTGATTCAAGAGATCTCTCAATTCCTCTATCTGCTCCACCAACGTCTTATTCTCACTCCCCGATCCCGCTTTGGTAGTCTGCAAGAGATTTCTCACTCGGTCCTCGACATTCTGAAGTTCTCTCTCGAAATCCGAGTCCTTGATGACAGTGGGACTGCTGTTGATTTTCTTCAGAGTATTCTCGAGATCGGCAAGTCTCCTCCTGTGAGAGTTGACAGCGTCTTGGACCAAATTATAGCATGGAGGGCAGTCCACGCAGCCGTACTGACGATTGTGTTTGTTCTCCTTGCACCTGTCACACCTTCTGCCCTCGACGTTGGTCAAGCAAGGACACTGTCCACTGGCATCGCACTGGAGATCCTGTGATCCAATGTGATCACAATCACAGAGCTTGCATCCATCCCTGCCAAATCCATACTGATAAGGTAGACAAGCGTCGCAGCGTTGGCCAGTGATGCCAGGACGACATTGGCACTGTCCACTGTTGGCGTCGCAAGTTCTGTTGTAGGAGCCCTCAGGGTCGCAGTTGCAGGCAGTGCAACCATCCCCGGAGAGAATCTGGTAGTACGCATCCTCGCACTTGTCGCAGTTCTTTCCAATGACGTGGGGTTTGCAGGCGCAGTAACCGGTCAATTGATTACACGGAGCCACAGCTCCAGTCTCAGTCTCCATCGTTCCTGGGGCAAAGCACTGACACAATTTGCACCCGTCCTCTCGTCTATCAGATAGAGCATCACCCCAGTACCCGGCGAGACAGTCCTCGCAGTGGAATCCAGCTGTGTGATTCACACACTTCAGACACTCCCCTGTCTCGTGATTACAATTTCTCACGGCGTTGAGGTCGATGTTGCCATTGCACTCGCAGGGCCTGCAGGCAATTCCCCTGTCTGGATTACCAAAATATCCGTCTGAGCAGGTCTCACATCGAGCCCCAGTTCTCCCAGACGGGCACTCGGAGCAGATTGGGTCTGGATTGTTTCCCAAGAGGATGCATGGACCGTTATCAGGGCATGGACAGGCCTGGCAGTCATACGGAGTGCCTTTGAGAGGATGTCCATAGAATCCACGGGCGCAGAGCTCACAATTGCTGCCAGCTGTGTTGTGCTGGCAGATGCAGGCGCCTGTCTCGGCTTCGCAGATATCTGCATGGCCGTTGCAATTGCAGGGGACGCAGAGGGCGAAGGGACCACCATTGGGGGGTTCGTGATGGAAGCCAGGAGCACAGGACTCGCAGAACTGGCCGACGTAACCGTGGGGACACTGACAGTGCTCCACCCAGTCGGCTGATTGTCCAGCAGCACCTCTCAGCGCTGTCTCTAGACGCACGTCGTCCAGGAAGCCTCTGCCCTGGTGTGTGTATGTTCCTCGGATTTTTATGGATGTCAGGTTTGAGAGGATTGATATGAAGTCCCGTGCCGAGAGCCGGGGCTGCCAGCCGTAGTTCGGATGCTCGTGGAGACGGAATTTGTACGTTTGAGGTGTCACTGTGGGCAGGCGGTTCTGCTGGCCGAATATCGGCTGTGTTATTTGCTCTCCGTTACCACCTTCCAGGATTACGTCTCTGGCTGTTGCCGCTGGGTCAGTCTCACCGATTCGTAGGGTAAAGTACAGGTGCTGATTGTAAGATGCTCGCTGATCCACCAGGAATCTGTCAGGCGCCACGAAGTACACGTTGTCACGATCTGGAGCTGATACTTGAACTGTCTGGGTGACTGCGTCGTAGTGCAGGGGAAGTGTGGTACCCACTACGTTCGCCGACCAGCGCTCGTTACCTCTCACAAACATACTCTCGATCACTGTTTTCGAGTAGCCGTTTGCTGGCCTGCAGATGGCCGAGTGGCCGTAGCAGAAGCAGGGGGTGCAACCGAATTCATTTTCCAGGGCCAGATTGAAGAAACCTGGCCGGCACTCGCGGCAACGTTTGCCTTCCACATTCTCCTTGCAGGAACAGGTACCGGTTTGAGGGTCGCAGCTTGGCTCGTTTCCCAGGGAACCTTTTGGACTGCAATCGCAGGATGTGCAGCCGATTGAGTCGAAGTTGTAGAAATTCGGAGAACACCGGTCACATTTGTCACCGGTTATGCCTGGCTTGCATTGGCATTTTCCTGCGCTGTTGCATTGCAGACTTCTGGAACCTGATGTCAATGGGGATTTCAATGGAGAGGATAATTTTTTGAATGAAAACTCAAGGTGAAAAAAAAATCATTGCATAATTGTCGAAGTTGTCGTTCATTGTGTTGCCTTACCTATTTCGTTGCAGTTACACGCGATGCAAAAATTGTCCTCAGGGCGTTCGTAGTAATTTTCTTTACACTTTTCACAGTTGGCACCAGCCCGATTGGCTTTGCAATCTATGCAGTGACCACCGTGGCCAGTTCTCGCATACAAGTCTTTGTCAAAATAACATCTGTCCGAATACCCGTTGCAGTTACAAGCTGAAAAATAAAATGACAATTATTCCTCCAACAGCAAAACAATAATTCTTCTAGTCTCCCTCAATTTATTCTCGTGACAATTTCGATCCTTCAGCAATTGCAAAACTTACGAGAAGATTGATAATATCTTGTGGACAATCTACTCCGATATCCGAAGCCCCCGAAAACTCCCCCCAACACCAAAATAATGATCATAAATTTCTTCATGTGATCGGGGGAATTCGTCGAACCAATAATTTCGAAATTTTGTTTCAATCATTAATCAAGGGGTTTGACACAATCTGATAGGAATGACGATGAAGCTGATGCTGCAGGTTCGTTTTGCCATATCCCCCACTTTGATCCAACTCATCGCTGGGTACATATATGGCAAAGCTGGCCCCTCGGCATAGCCACCATTTATGGCGAGCACAGATCGTAAAAAAGTCAGGCCAACGACAACTCGTTACTTGTCGCTGTTTGACGACAAATCCTTACCTTTACACTCGTGAGCATCAGTGTGCGTTGCACGGCCCCAGGGTGCATCATTGTAGAATGGAAGACACTCATTGCAGTCTGGGCCAGCAGTATTATGCTCACACCTGAAGGGCAAAATTTCGAATTTTATAAACAACCGGGGATAAACAATTGTTTCTGGAAGACAAGGGGCTACTGACCGACAAACCCTTCGAGTACTTCCATCGGAGGATGAGACACAAACTCCAGCGTGTCCATTGCAGGCACAGCGGGCCCCAACCGCAATATCCGTAATTGCGTAGTAATAAGATTTTAATACCGCTGGATCTCCGAAGACGTCGTCACCGAAGGTGTTCAGACGGTCCAGGGTGATACGTAAGTCTGTTGCTTGTACCCATTCCTAAAACAAATAAATTAATACAGTTTTCCATTTGTCAGTGCTCCTATGGAGCTCTGAATATCAATTTCCAATTTGAGTCAATCAATTTCACACCGAATCACTCCTTCATAACTTGTTATTAATTATTTATTATCATGAGATCATTAAACGAAATTAGAAATTAAATGAAACTGAAATGAAGTTTGATCGATGATTAAATAATAGTTGTTGAGAATTACTTGTAGTGCCGGATTGGTATCAAATTGAAAAGCGGAGGGTCTTCCCTCGAGGGTGGAGAATGCAACAGTTCCCTTGGTCAATGGAGAAATATCGGAGTACTCGGAAGTGCAGAGAACTCTGGTGTCATCACCTCGAACAGTTTCCTTGGAATCGGGGAGCCCATACAAGTCTCTGCAAGACGCCGAATAATATTGATAAGGCTCCCAGTCGGATTTATCATTCTTCCGCTTATAAATTCCCCAGCTCTCAGGCCTGGGTGTCTCGAAGAGGACTCTCACATAAGTTATATCAAACGTTTTCCCTGGAAAAGAAGATGAATGGGGTTTACGCCTATGGAGCACATGTGGCGGACAGACCAAGGTATGTTCTCCCCGGCCTACAAATTTATCTCAAATGCCATAGATAAAGGGTCAGAGATCACCGGAACTTGAATGAACTCACTTTATGGTTATCAAATCCATTCCCGTTTTATATTTTCGTGGAATTCAATGGGTGGGGGAGATGATACGTACCCAAATGTAGAGTGAGATTCACTTGATTTGGGTAATCAACATTTTCTAACATTGTTTCTGATTGCCACCATGTCGCATTCTCGTTATTGTCCTGATCAGTCAAATATATTGCTGGATGATCCCCCCATCTGCAGCTGTCGCAGGATTTCTCCTGGACACGTGTCTGTTTGCAGAACTCCGTGGGCTTTCCATCCTGTCCACACGTATTCGTTGCCTCGATCTCCAGATTGAACGCGGCATTTTCAAAGGGTGGGATACACCTCTAAAAAATAATATAATAACAGGGATAGTTATCCGAATTGTGTGAATCGGTTTTGAATCTTTGGGTATTAAGTATTACAAAATAATTCAATTGTCAAATATTTTTTATGTCGTTTCGAACTTTTTTAATTTTTAATTTCCTATAAAAATTCAGGGAAATGCACGGATAAATATAGAAAAGGATTTCAACGGAAAAAAATAGCCAGAAACAGCTACAGATTTATCTATTATTACGTGGGATCAAAACAGGAAGCATAATCACAAACATATCTATAATTTTTCTATTTCGTTTTCCTCCAGTATTTCGTCGTTTTTCAGATAAGCTGTCCCTCCGAATTGTAATTTTTCTCAAATCTTCATATTCAAACTCATAATCCCTCTAAAATATTATCTACAATATTCAGAAACTCATCGTTAAATGGTGTCTCCATAAATGAAAAAATTAAAAACAACTTGGACATCCTCAACCCTCGGAAACAACTACAAATTTATCAATCACGTGCGACGAAAAGAGGAAGCATCACGAGCACATCTATCGTTTCTTCATTCAGTCCCTTTTTTATCACCCCCTGGACTTCTTATCTTCGGTAAAAAAAAAAGCGTATAAACTGTGACGAGTTGGAGCAATTCGGTGAACAAACCGATAACCCCTTGTTCACGTTGGTCTCCAATTATGGGTAAAAAAAAATTGAGGAGACGAAGAAATACCGATAAAGATTACCAAAAATACGAGTCGATTGTAAATATGGGGCATTATGGATTATTCAACCTCGAAATAATTGAAACGAGTGGCTAATTTATTGGAGGGATAAAATAAACTTTTATTTATTTATTTATAAATACCTGAGGCCTTCCTGACTCGTCGTAGCACTTGACATCTCCTCGATTATGAGGTATTCGGTGATACAATTCCTCCGAGGGATCTGGTTCTGCCAGGCACAGAGGGAGGCAAGTTATTGCCAGCAGCAATAATCGCCTGCCCATCATTACCTCTCAATTGACAATAGCGATCTCAATATCGATTGTTTAATCGACGAGCTTTTTCCATGCGACCGGCAGCGGCTCCCGAGCTTGACTGAACGCTCCACTAAATCTGTCTCTCTGTTTCTCTCACTATCTGTGATTTTTATTTTCTACTTTTTCCTCCGTCGCTTCGGCTACACTCATCAATGGTAACAACTACACATCCTTGGGCCCATCTAATCCATCAGCAATTCATCTATTGGAAGATCTAGGTGACCGGAAGAGGTAGATCAGAGAAACTTTTGATGGAGTACTGCAAGCAAATGGATCAACATTTGTTCATTCACCGATTGTTATTCAATGAGAACAATAATTCGTGGTATCTAATAACATTTACATTAATTTTTCAAATTGTGTTGGATTGGACTAGATAAAAAATCCCCAGTGTTAAACGATTTTCATCGATAAATTATTTTCCTCTGTGATGTAAACGTATTTATTTTTATCTACCGAAAATGGGGGTAAATGGGGGGAATTGGGGGGAATTGGGGGAATGCTGCAAGGGTTTAGAATAAATCTTGGAGATAGAGAAGAGCTTGACTATAGCAAGTGATACTTGCAGTACAGTGAGTAGATTCCAACGGTAGTTTGGTTTATACCCCGCGGCAGGGGGTAGCGTCCTGGCTTTCCCAGGAATTCCGAAAAAAGGGAAAATTCTCCGGATTGTGGCATGTCGCAGGGAGAACCCCGAGGGATTCGTAGATTATCAACGAACCTTTGAGCGGTCGATTCCCTCCAGCGCTGAGATGTCAAAGGTACACGTGCGAATGAGCCCCCAGTGATATTTGCAAAAGCTCACGATGACCAACGATGACTGTGAAGAGGCACGCAAATTTATCGGATGTATTTACCGAGGAGAGGCCTAAACTGCGCCCACATACACGGTAGAAGGCAACTAGGAAAACTGGAGGTGGAGAGTAAACTGAGAGTGTGGAGGGAATGAAAGAGCGTGTTCTCTGAAGAGGTCTGCGGCCACCATCTGTCCTCTTTCAATCTCGACTCTCTCTGTCACGTTTTCTCTCCTACGCCGTGTGTCCCCACGGCACTCAAAGGCCCCGACCTTTCTTCTCCCTTCACGACCAAACCTGAATGAAAAAAAAAAGAATGGTGGAGAGGAGCGATCGGTGATCCTGGACTTTTCGAAAATTTTTGGAATTTTTAAGGATTCGCCTTTTCGGAGTAGATGGAAAGGGGAAAAACGGATATGGAGATATCTTTTTTACCCGGAAACTGGACACTGATACCGTCCCACCCACGTTATGGTTTTTTGTCTCCCTCTTGTCAGGGCAAAACTGCAAAACTGTTATCTTGCACCGTTTCGTGGCTGTGATCCATAAAGGCGAGTCTGGTGCATACTACCAGGGCCGTATGCACTCGGTAATGAGGGACTAATGAAGAGATCATTCGGCTGGGAAATATTTATTTTATGTATTTGATTTTATTATACTTTTAGAGTGTTTTGTATGCATTTTCGGAATGCCTGGAGAGTAATTTGATTGGGGAGAATAAGGTAGAATGATGAAATCGTCTTAAAAAATTTTTTTTGTAGTGAATAATCACTTTTTGCTATTAAAAGCATTTTTACTCTTCTTAGAATTAACATAATTAATTAATTAAAAATTAATAATTATAGCGGATAATAGATCAATAGGTCCTACGTATCACCTGAGTTTATTTTTCAAAATCCAATTTTTTCGTTGGAAACTCCGATCTTCTTTTTAGAATTGAATTGTGAAGGCTAGAGAAAAAATGAAGTCTATTTGTATGAAATTTAATTTTTATTCATAATTTTTGTAATCTAACTAGTTGAATATACATTTGCATTGTTGAATATACATTTGCACATCTGTATCGCCCCTTCAAGATAACTGAGTAGTTAATTCAATAAAGTTTTAAAATGGTCTTTTAATTCCGCAAGATTAGCAAACAGCTCGAACTTCGGAATATCTTTGTACTTTTCCGGAGTTTGACAGTCATGTGTCATCAAGAATGCGTACCATCCCGCCCTTTTCGCTCCAATGTAATCCAACTTGAAATTATCCCCGACGTGAAAGGCCTCCGCTGGTTTTATCGCCTCTCCTCTCGCCTTTCCTCCCAATTTTAGGGCCTCCTCGAAGATACCGAGCTCTGGTTTCTCACACCCATAATCGTAGGAAGTCAGAACAAAGGAAAAGTGTTCTCGGATGCCGGTACTCTCCAGGATATTCTCCAAACGGTCGTCGAAATTTGATATCACTCCAATTATTACATCTCGCTCGTTCAGGTAACTCAAAATATCTTTTGTCCCTGGGTACTTCTCCCAACACTCGTGTGTCCCGTACAGTTTGACTAGATTGTTTGATACCTGTTATCAGTAAAAATAAAAGAAATAATCAATGTTGAAAAAAATAACTGCGACAAGCGCAAAAATCTCCGAAACTAAGGAAGCTAGCAAGATTTTTGTTAAGACTTTTTTTGTAATTCCCGATCCTACCTTCAAGAAAGATTTTACCAAAAATTTCATTATATCCCTGATTTTCGGGGATATTCCCAAAAATTAATTTTTACCACTTTCCTACAGTTTTATGAATGATGGAGATAAAAGGAAAGAAAAGAAATCCATTTTTCCCCACATCCCCGACATCCCCGACTTTGTGAGGACAATGTGTTGAAAATAGGAAAATCGTAGTAACAAATCATAAAGTGTTCGTTGCAATTCTCAACTCCACGATTGGCAGTTTTCTCATCGGTGAAAATTACCTTCTCCAGAATATCTTGGGATATTCCTGGATGTTGATCCCGAAAAACCCCATAAACAAGATTCTTCCACCAGTTCTGCCAGCCAAGACCCGTATGTTTACCAAAAACCGGATGTTCACGGGACAAGCGAGAGTAGTGTTGTTTAAAACTTGGCGCGAGTACTCGAAGATTGAGTTCCGGTGCACCATATTTCATCCCAATTTCCCCATAATGTTCCAACTTAGTCCTCAATAATGTCCCAGTAACGTCAAATGTCACTAATCTCGGTCTTGTTATCGGCATTACTGTTCTACCATTGCGCTAACCACGCAATTTCACCAATTGTTCACTGAAATCACTGAAATGCATGCGCATCACACCAAGTCCTGACGATCTGCGACTGCTCCAACGAAGTCAACCGACAGCAGCCGAACACCCGCGCCAATGGCCCGCCAACTTAAGGTTTAAAAAAAAACAGCAGATTAATGTTGTCTCATAATTTTTACTTAACAAATTGGAATAATACATAATACTTAGCACAGTATATACAATTACTGCTGATAAATTGTACAAATCTGATAATTAATCATCTGTATTCTGCAATTTTCTGTTAAAAAATCGTTCAATGCAATATTATTATGCTCGTCGTTCACCTAACATCCTTCAAAAATGAGAAAATGAAAATTTTAAAATGTACCTCCCAATTGTAAGTGGATTAGTAGTAAAGTAGAAAAAAAAACACATTAAGATCTATCGTAGTACTCCGTACAGAGTAACCAAGTGACTCAAGTATAGAAACGATTTTTTAGACGACAACAGAGTGTAAAGAGTAACTTGTAGCAGCCGGCAGTGGTTCTGATTCATTCATCTAATAAATTCTCTCAATTCAATAGCGAACCATTTGAGTCGATTCAACTCCGATCCGAGATTTCAAGGAATATCTCCGGACTTACAGCAGATACCGGGATATAGTAGATAACATTTTCATAGTGATATTACCCCTGAATTACAGTGAAAATAAATTTGAACCGTTGACAATTTGGCTCCTTGAATAATCTCGCGTGGAGGATTCGATTTTTTACTATTTCTCTCAACTCAATTCAACATCATGATGATTGCTACACTTTACCACTCTAAATAATTATTATAATGACACACCTTACGAACTATTTTGTGTTGTGTGACTGATGGATTGTTTATAACAAGTTAAAAGAAAATAATTGCTTCAATGTTTAATAATCTTGTTTTTCTTAGTGTTGATTTTTTGGGAGAGTCGTACTTTGCTGTAGAGGAGGGAGGAAGTCTCTGATTATAAATTGCCTCAAAAACTTATTATATACCTGTACAAGTGTATAATGCATAAATCGAGGTAACAAGATGACAATTATGGCAGTCGTGATCAGGTTTACAGTTTCTCTCCTTCATTAATATTAAAATTCATCTATATATATACACAATGATCGGTGAAATATGTCTTCGCTGATTCCAACATGTGTATATATACAATAAATGCAGTAATATTGCAATACTCCTGATCTATACTACAATATCATTCTTTTTATGTAAATAAATTGTTATCTGTTTTCTTTCTTTTCTTTTTAATACATCGATCAGTCTCACAATCTTCTTATCATGTAGTAATTAGTAGAAGTTTCAATAAGTTTTTTTTTTCTCGTGATATAAAAGGTTTTGCTCTTATCCTATGATGATTTGAGTTACGAAAGGTGTTCCAACAATTTCTCAGAAGAACACGTCACGAGAAGTAATTCATTTGCGATTAGATGTATTTACAGGCTGTCGTTTAGATCTGCTCGTGAATTCGAGGGAGTATAATTTCTCGGGTAAAACGATAATTCCATAACAATTGGATCAACTCCAGTCATTTATGAATCAACTGCCTCTTTCACCGAATGTCAGAAACTCTCAGATTTTCTTCAGTAACGATGGCGATGTTAATAATAATTGAATAGAAAATATCATTGCCAGAGTAATTATGCTAATTGATAACGAAATTGAATTAAAAATAATTCGCTACATAATTGCTATGTATTGCATTTTGTTGATTTTCCGCACAATGATGGAGATAAAAATGGAAGTAATGACTCGTGAAGTTAATGAGGTGTAGAGTAATTAACAATCGCCATTTTATCATTCATTTCTTTCCCTTTTTGTCTTGATTAACTGGCAGTGTTGGCATACTCAGCTAATTACATACGAATTGACAATAATTCACATTATTCTTATTATTTTTTCGTTTTATTTATATAAAAAATATATATTATTAATATGATTGATTGGAGATAGCAGGGGAGTGACAATTGTCTGTTTTGTGAATTAAAAAATATTTATTATCTGGAGATCGGAGAAAAATTTATACAGTAGAGTCTCGTTATGGTCGCACCTCAATTTCTGTTTTCATGGGTCTCTCGGTTTCCCCATGCCACTACCTCCGGCCTACAAGTTCTTAACAATCCACATTAATTCATCCAATGATTAATTGAATCCCGTGAAAAATAAAGCCGAAAAATAAATTTCTCTCATATTCGAATTTGCTATGAAAAAAAATCATTTCAATACAGCCTCACGCACGCGGCTATAACGAGAGTCTACTCTATTCTCTTATCTTGGTGAGAAAGAAATATTCTACACGGCTTAAAATTGAAGAGAAGAGAAATTATCTGGGATGAGAAATAAAAATAAATAAAGTGCAGTCTCATTTGCATCTTTCTGAATTGAAACAAAAATGCAAAAAAAAAAATCCAATCTCGATGATTACTATAGCACACAGTAACAGTTACGATCTTACATTTACTGTAAAAGAGATCACATCACATTCACTCTTTAATCGTCCACTTGCTATTGAAAAACATAGAAAAATGCTAGTCTAATCTGTCCACAGAGGAGGGAAAAAATGAACAAACATCCTCCGTGGACAAATCATTTGGTTCGATGTTTGATTGATAGCTTTCAACGATTGTCAATGAGCCTTTTTTTTGTATTTTATGATATTTTTTTGTAAAACTCTGATTATGTGAAGTTTATGAGGAAAACTTCAACATTCTTCATTTATAATACAATAAAAAAAATAATGCCAAATCAATGAGATGAGACACAAAGAATATAATATTGCACATTTACAATTAAAAAGTAATCTTTGTGTCTCGTTATCGATTCGTGACCAGTTGTGTTATTGTGGTTTTGTTTTTAGTAGGCTAGAAACGATCGGAGGGTTCAAGAGGTAACTTCCTTGTGCTGTTATCAACTTTTAATATTCAAGTAAAGAAAATACCTTATACTAACTTAACTAGACGTCTTGTCAATCTATCTCTCTCAATAACGTTTTTATTATTTTTCTCTCAAACAGTCTAGTACTCGCACTGAAGCAGTCCATTTATCCAATTGCTCAGTCATATAATTGACTCGCCATTACCAATTTTCACTGTTTTTCATTGACACCTCTGAGTTGAGAGGTGAACGATTTTTCAACGACTGATGAATAACATCACATCCTAGCACGAGCTTCTTACACCTAACGTCATGGAGTTCACTAGTATCCCACCCACAAAACGAGGAAATGCATTTCAATTTAAATCACCACTGAACATTCTATTTAATTTGGCCCCAAACGTTAGAGTAACATTGTTGGCATCTAAGAACTTTCACGCACGCAATTTCCCAGATAAATCTAGCGCTGGAGATGGGCAGCTGACTTTATCATTTAAATAGTTCCAAAATTCATCACAAATTCAGTACATACCGAAAGACTGCCTTACATTAAAAATTTGGAACATGAAATATACCACATATTCATCACAGCATTTTGATGTATCGACGTACCAATTTTTTTTTTTCCAATTTTCGTATTTTCTCAAAACACTTTCGATTATGCACTATTTCAACAGCTCAATTCTTACCCACCCACCTCAGGCCATTATCTCTGGGTAATAAATACAAAAAACTACAACAATAAATTTTCACGATCAATCGAATGACTTTTTAAATTGCAGGTATCCCTAATTTCACAATACAATGCATTATTTATCCGAAAAAAATATCGTCACGTTATTAAGAATATAGACTTTAAGTATAAAACTTGTATTGGAAGTTTAATTTATCTTTATCTACGCAATTAATGAAATTAAAGTCTCCAGTACGCCTAGACTACCACGAAAGAAAGAGAAAAAAGAAAAAAAATATGTATAAATTATTGAGACACCTATCGCGAGGTGTTTCTGTCATTAATTAGTGACAGAATGTCTTGCAGCGTGAATAGCGAAATCCACGAGTGGATTGTTAGGAATTGATATTGGGAGCTGTGAGTCTGATGACGTTACGAGATTTTCAAGTGGTTGACACGTGAATGTCTCCACCTGTTTCGTGGTTACTAATTTAATGGGAACTTCGCTCGTTAATCTGATAGTTTCTGACAGTGCAGCTGCCTTCAATTGTATCGTTTTACTCTGATGGACTTTGATACTCGCGACGACGCTGTTACTACTGCTCTTAATGATTTTACTCTCACCAATACCAGGATTCGATGACTCGTCGTAGCCAGAGTCTGATGAGGAATCGCTGAAGATTTTGCCAGTGGTCTTTGATACCTCTGAGGATGAGTCAACGCTGTGAGCTGGACTTGAAGAGGCTGCACTGTGGACTGGACTTGCTGCTGACGAGCTGTGGAATGGACTGGCGTTGGCTGGAGCATTTACCTCACGTGGACGTCGTTGAAGGCTCAGACAACCAGCACAACGTTTTATCAGGGATGGATCGACGATTATCTCACCGTAGAGACCTCTAAATATTTCTCCACAGCAGATTCGCTCCCTGGAAAAAATCAGCGCAATTAGCAGATGCGAGTAACGAGTAATCATTTTTTTATGAATCTCGAAAACTGAAAAATCAAAATGAAATAAAAAAGTGGCAAGTACCTCTTGAAATAGGTCATATCAATGAACCCATTGTAGTCATCTTTCTCTTCAACGCAATTTATGTTATCAAGTCTTTTATTTGTTGTGACAGTGTCATCACTGCCCTCGGGACTTCCAGCACGACTCGATCCCTTGCTGCCAGTCTCCGTCATCTCCTCATCTGCAAATAACAATTTTCACATGATCTTGATCCGAAGGAAAAACTCGGAAAATACAATCTGCAAGAAACGAACCATTCAAATCATCGCTCATTGCGGGACTCGGCTCGCGATCTTCATCGGGCTTGTTCAATATCTTCTTCCTGGATAGCTTCTCCATACTCTCCTTCAGCTTCTTCTTATTCTTTGATTTGAATTTGGTCAGAGATTTGATTCCCGGTCCTGCTCGTGCATCAACAACCTGTAGAGGCCCAGCCCAATATTATTAATTCGACATAAAGCATTGAGTTGATAACGAATTATGAAACGTTGGCTTACGTGACTCCAATTTCGATCGCTTCCAGCTGGTAGTTTTTTCCATCGTTTTACCAGAAGCACGCAGGCATTACAGATTTCGCCAGTGCGCCTCTCTTCCAGCAAAAAGCAGGGAAAAAAATCCTCCTCGTACCGTTTGCTGTCGGTGAATCGGGAGCTGAGAACAAATAAATATCGAGGAATTTTTTAGAAACACAATTTATATATTAGTAATCATATAATTTATTCTTAGGCATAAGTATTAAATATTTACCTGCTGGATTTGGCCTTGCAAATGCAGCATCCTGTGGTGGACCGATAAACCTTCGGTTTATGAAAACTAAACATTTTCCTTACTCGTTCTTCCCTTCTCTACTCTACGTGTCCCCTAAAATCATGAAAAAAATGATCCATCAGTCATCATTACGACAAAAATTAACAAAAAATGATGTCGTGTACATTTGGATATAAAATCTTATACGGAATGCCCTTGACCCAGTTAGCCATCTGCAGTAGGTGCCACTTATACTCTTTGGCAAGCGATCCCATCGTCGAGACAACACAATCAGCCTCCAACATTTGAATTTGAATTTTTTCTGTAATCAATTCCCTCCCCCTAACCCCCCTCACTGTGCAATCATTGCCCCCGCGGATAATATAAAGAGTAGAAGTAATTCGGTGATTCCTTGACAACGAAATAAATAAAAGAGGACAACTCGTCTAGCTCTCTCGCCCCTGACACAGTTACCCAGTAAATGCTACTTTCCTTTTCACTTTTACTCCACCTTTACCTCTCGAAAAAAAAAAGTGAAACAAGATGTGAGTAATATGAAATCGCTCTCTACACGGAAGTGGCCAAGTCTAACGTAACACGATTTATTCAATCGCATGATTTTGAAAATGATGGATATTTTTTTTTCTACTTCAGGGTTGCAACGGACGCTAACTGTCAACGAACTGATTAACTCCGATGATCTGATAACTGATTCGTTATCATGTTTTGCCCATCATGAGACGTCAATGTATCTCAAGAGATACAGCCACTCGAATATTTTGTTATTCAATCAAGTAAATAGTGAGGAAGGTCGTTTTTTAGGTGCCTGTCATCGAATTTTCTTGTTTCATCTGCTGTTTTTCTGGTATAAAAGACTCCACAAGTCGCTATAAGCCCAGGGGTATTTTAAAAGCTGTAGAATGTTGTTTTTCGCGGTTTACGTTCAACTTCTTTCTCCCTTCTCTATCATCGCGAATAAACGTATCGCATTAATGCGTACGCACGTTTCTGATGCTCCAAAAATAACTCTGACGGGAAAAGAGATGGAGACAGAGGACATAAACACAAATATATAATGGAATACACGAATGCAGTGGAGAAACGAGGCGAGTGGGGAAGCCCGACTGATAAAAAAAAATTTCAAAAAATACACGAGTTGAGTCGTTGAGTCGTAAACATGCAACGCGTATGCCAGGGGATTTTATATGTTTTCCATCTATTTTTTTTTTGTTCAAGAACAGACCAGTGAAGGCCGGTCAGCATATTGTAGGGGAAGTTGGGGTGAAATTGAGAATTTTTATTGTTTACCACAATGACTTCAATCCCAAGAAAATAAAACGCCAATCCATCAGAATTGTTTTAATATTTCAATTTTGTGAAATCCTGATTGATTCAAATGTTATTGATTTTAGATTGAACTATGACATTTTGCTGTATGAGAAAATCAATAATTAAAAAATCCCTTTCCATGAATCTTTTTTCTCTATGCCTCAGCCCAATGGTTCTCCAACAATTGAATTTGAAATGCACCAATATTATCACTAACTTCCTAAACGACTGGAAAATGGACTCATAAAATGTTTTCGTGTTTACTACAACTATTTTTTAGTTTTTTTCTTTTCTTTATAGTTGCATAAACCAACAGGTTGTGTGCGTGATGAAAAAAAATATAATAAATCAATTGAAGTAAAAAGAAATTCGACCTATGTGAGTATAAGGAGAATCTGTCCCAAAAAAAGGGAAGAACTAAAATAAGGAAAAGGAGGAAATTAGAAGAAAAAAAAATGGATGAAGAAAAAGAAGAAGGGAAGAAGGGGGAACGAGAGAGGAAAAAGAAAAAATAGAAAAAAAGAGAAAAAATAGAAAAAAAGAGAAAAAGGAGAAAAAAAAAGGAGATTGAAGGGGACACATGCAGGAATGAGGGTAGAAAGGCATATTGGATATATAGGAAGGGACGAGGTGGGAAAGTAGAGTAGTGGAACGAATGGAGGCGCGAAAGGTTTGGAGTAGAGAAACAAGTAGAAGTGAGACGTGCGCAGAAAAATGTCTGACATGGCGCGTGGCACAGCACAGGCCGCGGCCATTGCGGCTTCCCTCGTTTTACCTCCCCCCTTCAGTCGTCCCAGCTGTCCCATAAATCATATGTCAATTCTCCACGAAAAATCCGACGATGGGACAAAACTCGACTAATGGATTGAGCCAATGTGGCGGTACAATCAGTGATGCATTGGTCAGATGAACGATAACATCTCTTGTTTATGATCGAACGAAATTAATTGATGACCAACTGTTATGAATTATTTGCCACTAACCGCCACGGGCACGCCATGACAGATGATACGGCACGCAAACAAACTAGGTATCCATAACAGCCCCTACCAATTGGCAAAACCTCCATTATTGCAGCTATTATCCATCAAGATGACCATTGAAATTTGATAAATTATGTCAATGCACGTGGACGCATCTGGATTCACTGCTAGGTGTCCCTCTTCAATGGAAAATCAACCCTAATGTATATAGACCGCTGCGGCGGCGCGGATTTCAGATCTTAAACCATAACGAAATGACATCAGTCTATTTACCCGTAATTTATCGAATTGTTGAGTTAATTCTCAGGCGGTCAGTGAAAATCATTGAAATTATTACGAGAAATATCGGTATTACCAGACGTCAATGATGATACTGCAGTCTGGCAGATAGACACCCGAGTTTTCGTCAACACCGGACACGACGCTCACATTAATCGCCACTTGTCAATTATTTAACTCACCAATCATCAATGACAATTGGAAAATTTATTCATTGACACATTGTCGAACGGTTTGAGGGAATTTTAAAGATTTTCGGACACATTTACTGACACTTAATGGACGTAATATCACAGACGGAGTTTTCGCTTACCTTTTTAATACAGGTGACGGTGAGTTTTGGAGTCCCTTTCTGCGCAGAATCGGCGCGCAGATGCCAGAGAGTGTATACAAGAATCAACACAACAACTTCCAGTTGTCAAAAGCGGGCATTACATTTTTTTCACGTTTTAATTTGAGGGCGGAATGATTATTTAACTTTTTTGAGAGGTTCCTGCGGATTTTGGGGTGATCTGGGATTTTTTAGTGAAGTCCTGTCGATTATTATTGAGATTTTTGGGGCCTTCCGGATATTGACTACTCGACTTCCGGCTTCACTGCGACGCCGCAGTGAAGTGACAGTTCTACATGAAGCCGCCAGGGTTGAGCTGAAAAAAAAATGTGTAAATAAAGAGGATGGTGATTTGACAATGGGCTGTCATCCGTCCATCTGACGTTAGTCATCCTCATCCCCTGAGTCATCAGTCCCAAAATTTCTCGACCTGTCCTTGAAATTCGGTGCTGGTGGAGATGGTGAGATAATGCTCTGTTTTTTTTTTTCATGATTTTTTTCGTGATTTGCGGGTTTTTTCAGGTGGACTTTTAAATGCGCTCCCTACGCCACACAGCGGTTATTCCTCTCAACATTGGATTTCACTTTCGGACGGCTCTTCACGGGCTTTTCCGTGTCTAGCCGAAAGTTCATTGACAATAGCCACCTGAAAACAGCTGATTGCTTGACGTTGGGCTTTCGCCACCGGGGAAAAATAGAGAGAAACGGATTGACGGTATCATGTCACTTCGTCGCGTCTACTGATGATAACAAGTCGTAAGGGGAACGCGCAAATTATCGGGAAATCGTGATTGGTTTATGTAAAGGAACCGGTTTGTTGTTTTTTTTTCGTTGTTTTTATTGTTTTTTTTTATCGGTTGGCTTATCATGGCAAGCTCTGTTGGGAACAATGGGTACAATTTTAAAGTGGTTCTTCTCGGGGAGGGGTGTGTGGGAAAAACATCGGTGGTACTGAGGTATGTTGAGGACAAGTTCAATGACGACCATTTGACGACGGTGCAGGTGAGGCTTTTGTTGTTGTTTTTATTTTTCCAATTGATTTCGCGGGATTGATTGAGTATCGGAATGTTTTTTGATTGCAGGCATCGTTCCTCACGAAGAAACTCAATATCAAGGGGAAGAGGATCAATTTGGCGATATGGGATACTGCCGGACAAGAGAAATTCCATGCTTTAGGACCAATTTACTATCGAATGTCGAATGGAGCGATTTTAGTTTACGATGTTACAGATGAGAATAGCTTTCAAATGGTGAGGGGATTTTTGCTTTGTTCAGTCCATCGTCAGGCGTACAATCGTTTTTATCGGAGGCGAGATGTAAACAGAGCTTATCGGGGATTATTTCTGTACACGTCGAAGAATGGCTGAATTGGGATGCGGTTTCGAGAATCCAGTAGCTTCATATGCATTTATAATTTTTTTGAATGCATTATTATGTTTAAGGGGATTGACATACGATATGTCGAATTTTTATGTGCCGATTTTCAATGGCAAATTTGTAGGGCCACTCAAATATGTTTTGATATTTTAATTTTTTCAGTAATCTGAAATATTCAATTTGAATTATTGGAATTATGTGATTGGATAGTTTAATTGAATTTTTCAGGTAAAAAATTGGGTGAAGGAGTTGAAGAAAATGTTGGGCAGTGATATATCTTTAGTCATAGCAGGGAACAAAGTTGATCTCGAGAAAGACCGAAGTGTCTCGATCGAGGAAGCGGACAAGTGAGTACACAAAGAGAAGCCATAAAATCCGATAATTCAGTGCGAGCAACTGCGTCACACAAATCTCTACCTCATTAATTACTGCAGGTATGCGAAGCAAGTGGGCGCAGTGCACTTTCACACGTCAGCCAAGCAGAACCGAAATATCGAGGAAATGTTTCTGGACCTAACGAGAAGAATGATGGCCCACGCTGACGAGACTGAGCAACAAAAGTCCAATCTCAACAGGACGAGCAGCACCAGGCGAAATGTTGTTGTCGTCGAGGACGAAGCTGAACCGATCCAAACGACAAAGTCATCCTGCTGCGGGGGTTCACATGCCTCATGAATTGATCTTTTGTCTTCTGGAATTGAATGCGTTATAGACTTGGGACAAACGATGTATATATTTAGTCACTTTTGTATTTACCTCGAGATGAAGTAAAATTCCTCTCGAGATCTTTTTCTCCCTATTTCTTTTTTCGTGAAACGAGACGAGTCGCCAGACTTGCAATTTAGTTTTTCAAAGATATTGAAATTGACAGGTAAATAGTTCGATGAAATTTTTATGAGATTTTTTTAAAAACCAATAGCGAAGTGGTGAAATGAGATGAGTAGAATTTAATTCAGATTGGGCCTAATTATCAATTTATCTTGGAAGAAATTGATTAAAGGGGGGAGGTTGAGGGACTTTTCTGCAGCTAATTGAATTTTTTACAAAAAAAGGTTTTTTCGATATTTTCTTCTGAAATCAATCTTACTTAGACTCTTGTGATAATCACGTGCATGAGAGTGTTGTACAATGGGGGAGAGGAGGAGAGGTGCAACTAGAACGGCATTCTACTGTATTAAAAATTCGACTATTTCTCTTCAATCTCAAAACATTCAGCGAAAATTAATGTCAGAGTGAAAGTAACTTATCTCGTTTTATCATTCCACTAATGATTTTGCGAAAAGGTCATCGTGGGTTATCGAGTTTTGATATTTATGATGATTGAAATTGCCGAGGAGATCATGTGAGTTGTTTTTGCAAAGTGAGTTTGAGAACAATTCTCATGCAGACTGCCAAAAATATATATATCGATGGACGCTCTGGATCGATTCAACTGCAACGATCATGGAATTCAGTAGCGAAAACGTGAATATCTCCGAATCTAAAGAAAATATCGGAATGTTTCTGAGATGATCTTTTGCAGAGAAAGCTCCAAGAAAGTTCTTCATCAAAATTTCAGTATTTCTTTTAGATCCCGAGATGTTCCCCAAAAGGTACTGATTAGCTGAATCAACTTATCTTTTACTTCTTCGCTACTGAATATTTTTTATGAATCGTTTCAGATAATCCAAGTAATTTATGAGGAATATTGAGGCTTATTCTAATGACGGTCAGTGTTACTAAAATTTACCAGTGGTGTACTGTTTAATTCAATGTACGAGAGTCCTATTACGATTACAATGTGCAATAAATAAGTCGTAATTCAATTGTGAAGTCTAGGTTTTATTTCAATGATTGGTGGCATCGATGACACTCCCATTCAATGATTCATGTTTAATATATTATAATGGATTATGTTAAACATATCCAACTATTTTTAAATATACACGTTTCTCTCGTTCCATTACTGGGTTAAATTTTGGATTAGAGACATAAATTATTGAAAAGAACATCGGAGAAACACGTGACTCCTTGCTTTAAGAAAAGATTAACACAAAGAATTAGTGTAATTGTTTTGCATGTGTAATAGTCTTGAACACATCATAACGACCAGTCGGAATTGCTCATTTCATCTCTCTTGCATAAATAAGTTTACCAATCCAATTTACCATCTTTTCTCTTACCTAAAATCTAATTTTTATCATTTCTCTATACATTCAAGTGAATTAATTATATTTACAAAGGTTTGTATCAATTAAAAGGATATGACCGGTAGTTTAAAAATCCATTCTATACACATTATATTTTATTTTCAATGGCCGGTATTAGTTGCAATGAGTTTGAGACCTCTCGTAGGTGAAAAAGTCATGGAATGTTTAGCTAAACTGTTTTTTTTCCCATTATTTTTCAATTCAACTGTTTTTCATTATTTTGAGTCGTTACAGGACTTGAAGAATGGTTTTTATTACAAAAAAAAAATTATTTACTCACTCGATTACTAGAATTAGTGCGATTCTCTAAGGCATCTCGTTAATAAAATTATCGATTATTACATTTTTCTCTTTCATTTCCTTCCTTCGCGTGTTTTTTTTTCTCAATTGTTTCTCTTTTTTGTCTTCAAATTAAACTATTTATTCCTCTTTTCCTACAATTAAAAGTATGACGTTTCTTTTCATCTTTGGTATACAATCAAAAAAATTCAGTATAAATATTTTGACACCTTTTTTTTAAAAAAAAAAGAGATATAAACCTTTCATTTTGTTTTCGCATTTTAAATTCGTCCCAATAGTACATCCATTGTGCTTTCTGTTGTGACTAGGTTTCTGTATTAGTATGACATCATCGGAGAGTATTACGTAGAGTTACAAAAATGAAGGAAATTATACTCGAGAATAATCATCACAACTTCCGATGCCAATGTCAACATATTTGTTTTTCTTTCGACAAATTGTTTCGGGGGAGTTTCTAGTCATCAAATGTTGACTTCAGGTTTAATTACTCGAATGGACTGATTAGGCCATGAAATAAACGCAATTCTGGAGGAATTTTTGTTTATATGATGAATATCTTATCTTGATACGCGAACAGGAAATCAATGAATTGATTTATCGGTCCTATCGCTGACAAGGACATTCCCACCGAGGAGGGGGCTCTCACCAAGTTTGGACCAAATACAACGGCTAGATTGCTGGATGTCATCTTATTTAAATCAGATCTGTCCATTACCTGTTGAATAAATACCATTTGTAAATTTCCCTTCAATATTTTCACCTGAAAATTATTTTCTATCTTACCCTAGATAAGAACTGCACTATGTACTTCAGTAATTGATAATTATCTTCCGGTAATTTTTCGAGAACGAGAATTTTCACTTTACGTGGACGTTCATCTTTTGATAAAGCTGAAAGATCAAAAATAATTAGCTGATTGATGAAATCGTGGACTTTGTGGTAGATATCAAGAGAGAAATGGCTCCAAGATAAAACCTCAGTCCCTGGAGTGTCAAATTTCACATTTATAAACAGGAAAATACTAGAAACCCCAAGTTTTACTGGAATCCCATAAAAATTTTCACTTTCATCGAATCTATTTTTATTTTCATAAAAAATTTAATAAAGATTTTATAAAATTTCTCAGAAAAGCGCGAGCTGGAATTTTTCTTACTGATTCGAAATGAATTGAAATAAATTTTAGATAAATTTCAATAATGAGTGATATTTACATTGAAACTGCGTGATTTCATCATAAAGTTCATAAGTCATCAGGGGTTCATCGAGTTCCCTCAGAAAAGTCTTCAAAAGTACAGCAGCAATGTGTGGATCGCCTCGAAAATCAACAGGCAATCCGTGATTGCACTGATTCTGTAATTCCTTGACAACAGCAACATTTGCAGATCGACGAAAAATGCCCTCAGTCTCCAATGCATCAGGTGTATCGAGAAACTCCACGCATTGTCTGACAATCGGTGGAATGGGATCGCCAGCATTATTCTCTTTGATAAACTGTAAACTGGCACCAAATTGCGTCGTTGCAATTGGCGTTGCCAGGGAGCTAGATGGCGGACTCGTTGGCAGATTTTTCCTCGTCTTCAGCATGAGCTGCTCATCGTGCTCCAGCACTTGTTGTGGAATGATAAGTTGATCCAAATTTATATGCGTTGCCAATTCATCGAGATAATTGACGTACATCATTTTTCGTCCAAACTTAGCACTGAAAAAAGATGAAATATTGTAGACGAGTACTTCAATCTCCACAGAAAAGTCTCTTGGGTTTCCCGAAACCACTTCACCCCGTAGATATTTATAGCCATCTACACGCAAACCATTTCCCCATCTCCTTCAGGCATCTCATAAGTGGTCCCAGGGAAATTAAGAATAATTACCTAATAGCCGGTTTAAATATCTGCCAGACAATCCTGATGAAGTTAGTGGGGTGAACTAAATAAAGTGCCTTCAGATTTTTCTTATATTTCCTATCGAACGCCTTGTACGCCTGCCATAGCCACGATAACGGTGGCTTGTTCTTCGAGGTAAGGCCATGATGAAAATAAACTAAACTGTAGTCCTGCTCGACAAATGTGTCCAGTGTATGTGTGAGATATCTGAAATATTAAACATCGATTAATTAGATATTCAACCGAAATGTTGTTGTCTAAACAAACCGAAGAAGCTTGGCGTGATTGAAGACCTCCTTGCCAACAGCTGGGAGTTTGCAGGCGGATACAACGATGACCTTGCGTCCAGCACTGTCATCACCCACCACTTCCACAATACCAAGCCTCGCAATATCGTGGTAATCCTCCTCGTCAGCCAGCTCCTCATCTAAGGCAGCCAGATCTTCAGCTGAAATTACAATAAAGACCACGAAAGCCATAAAATCCAAGTGTGTCGTCAAAGTCCTTGACATTTAAATATCAATCTCACCATTCTCGATTACGGGGGCGTCCACCAGTGCTTCCTCAAAGTTTTCCTCTATCGTTCCATCACTCACTGGACTTTCCAAGTAATCAACCACTGTCCCTGTCCCAGCTATACTCAACTCCAACTTCTCCTCCAATAGTTGTGTTGCTTAACAAAAAATAACCCAGCTATCGATTTATCACCTTTCTTTTTTTTTCAAAAGAAAAAGACGCTCTGCCATGAACCAATACCACCACCACTGATATTACGACAATTACCACAACATTTAATCGAAAAACTTTACGTTTAATATCAAAATGTATAACACTCATTACTCACTGGGAATTTGAAATAAAAAAAATATCTCATAGATAAAATTTCAATAGAACTTCCTGGACTTGAATTCTTCAATTTTTTAAAATGACACTTTGGTAATTTTGTCATCAAGAAAAAATGATTGAAGTTGAAAGGACATGGGTAATTTTTAATCAACTTTGAATTTCGAAAATAAAATACAAAACTGAACAAAACCTCACCATTATTTGGAGGTGCTTGAAGTTCGGTGTCGTCAAACTCTAAATTTGGCTCGTAGTCGTGATAATCAGAGAGGCTCGGATATGGATCTTCAACGTCATTCGATATACCTAAAGAATAATAAGAATATTCGATTAACGAATGAATAGCTCACACAGGAAAGGACAAATTCAAATGTAAAATAGGTGGAAACAGGTGGAGTGTCATAATAAATATTGGTGGTATTGTACGTGTGTTGTGTTTATGGTTCACACATTACCTGTCAAAGCCCTCGCTGGACTCGGTGACGGCTGATAATCAGCTTCCATATTTTTATCACACCGTTGACGACTATGATGGATGAATTTGATTAATGCAATTATTTCAATTGCCGAATAAAAAACCACCGCCCCGTTTACATGTCCACGGGCCCTCCTATCGCCAACGTAACAACATGATTTGTGTTGCGGTGGAAAGTTAGTGGACGATGGAAAACCTCTTTCTACGATATATCACTGTGAAAACACAAAACAGAGTCATATGTGGACTGCGTCAGGGAAGGAATTCTGCGCGTTTTGTTAACATAAAAACTATTTTTTCACTCCCACCAGGTGGAGCGCTTGCTTTATTAATGTCTCATTTGAATTGGTTTTAGAACAGATATTCTAAAACAGACAGGAGCAAGAAAAATGAGTTTTTATGTTGAAATAAAACGAATTCCTCGCCAGAACTGCTCCAAAACACACGACGTTGTCAAATTTTTTCCGTGACACAAAATTATCAGGGATTATTAGGGATTAATCCTCGCTGTCATTAGCAGATGTCACTGAACCTCATAATAATTTATCTGCAGTTTCACTTCTAGATTCAACAACTCACGGTTTATTTCAGCTGTAGGAGGCGTCACCTCTGCTTCTCCCTTTACGCGCTCGGTCGCCATACTTCGCGTTTTCAATCGCGAAGAGTTGTATTTTATATTCCATTAATTTCCAAGGAATCCTTTGATTCCTCGATCGGAATAATGGTGCAGAAGAAGGTAAACATTATTGTTAACAAGCGGTTACGAATATTTTTTACTTTCACCAATGTGCCCACAATTAGGGGAAAGTTGAATCTCGGTGGAATCGGCTCCACGATAAATTCACCTCCACGTTATCAACATGTCTAAATCCACAGAATAATTATACTTCAACAATAGAAATAAATTGCTTTCAACTTCTTTGTAATGCCTAATTTTTCCATCCAAGAATCATTTTTCTGAGAGTACATGTTCGATTTTAAATGCAAAAAAATTGTTGAAAGAATTAGACAACTTCTTTTATAGAATATTGAGGTTATTAAGGCCTTAATTGACTGTTGAATGTGTCGACAAGTGTTCAATGGTATCTGTTATTAAATAAAGAAAATATCATCCGAGTGAAAGTGAGTGAAAACAGTGTTTGCCACCCCAACAGAATTTTCCTCCGGTCTCTAATTATTTCAATTGGAGAAAAACCTAATGATGACAAAAAATAGAGCCAATCCCATGAGCTGTTGCGATAAAACTCCTATTTTTGAACTGAAATTTCTTGTCAATCCATTTAACATTGTGGATAAATATTTTTTAAACGTATACTTGAGGTTTCGTGTGGTTTTTCTCTGTTTAGCCCAAGAAGAAGGTAGGAAAGAAGGTCGCAGCTGCTCCTTTGGCAGTGAAGAAAGTTGAACTGAAGAAGCAGACGAATCCATTGTTCGAGAAACGTACTCGTAACTTCGGAATTGGCCAGGACATCCAGCCAGCTCGTGATCTGAGCAGATTCGTCAAATGGCCCAAGTATATTCGCATCCAGCGTCAACGGGCTGTCCTCCAAAAACGTTTGAAGGTTCCACCTCCAATCAACCAATTTACCCAGACCCTTGACAAACAAACTGGTGAGTTTATCTTCATTTTTCAGACCTAAACATTACAGCAGTAATAAAAAATATTCCTCTCCTGTGGCATGACTACAAAATATTCAAGTAATTAGAAAAAAAAAAATGTTTATTATGTGCTTGTGATATTTCCAGCAACACAGTTGTTTAAAATCCTCGAGAAGTACAGGCCAGAATCTGCTGAAGCCAAGAAGAGGAGGCTGAAAGCCAGGGCTGAGGAGAAGGCTGCCAAGAAGGAAGACACACCAACCAAGAGGCCAAATGTCGTTCGCAGTGGAACCAACACTGTCACTACCCTCGTCGAGCAGAAGAAAGCACAACTCGTTGTGATTGCTCACGATGTTGATCCCATCGAGGTAAATGAGAAGAATTTCTTCACAGTAATAAAGATTTCGTCTTGAAAATCGGTGAAGCTTTTTTACATCTTACAGTTTAATTTTCCCAACTGTTTTTGTATTTATTATTATTTACAATGATGCCAGAATTTCTTCACCTGAGGTGAGAAGAATAATAACTTCCTCTCATTCAAAGGATGAAACTTGACTCTGAGTTTTTAATTATTTAAATTATTGATTTCTTTATTTTTAAGTCGAAAATGAATTAATAATCTTTTTTTGTAGGTCGTTCTCTTCCTCCCCGCTCTATGTCGTAAGATGGGGGTGCCATACTGCATCATCAAGGGAAAAGCTCGTCTTGGACGTCTCGTAAGACGTAAGACTTGTACTGCGGTTGCCCTCACACAGGTAAAAATCAAATGCAGATGGTTAAAATCGTGTTTCCATCTTTAAAAATCCATTTTCCTCCTGAGGAAACCCAATGATGAAAAAAATAGAGCCAATCCCATGACAGGTCGTGATAAATAATCTATTTTTCAACTGAAAACCTCGGAGAAACTTCTACAGGCATTCGGGTATCCTTTAAAAGCAGTTACTCAATTATGTAATTTTTTTTTCCTCATCTAGGTGGACTCTGCTGACCGAGCCAACTTCAGCAAGGTCGTCGAGGCAATTAAGACGAACTTTAACGATCGTCATGACGAGATTAGACGTCACTGGGGTGGTGGTCTTCTTGGCAGTAAATCAGCTGCACGAATTGCCAAGCTCGAGAAGGCAAAGGCTAAGGAGCTCGCCCAGAAACAGGGTTAAAAATCCATTTTCAGGTTTTATACTCTCAACTGGTCGATACAAAAAAAAACAATAAAACCATAAAAAAAATTTAAACATACCCTTTTATTTGGAAACATAAAATACATGAACTAGAAATGATTTTCCCTTAATATGATCTCATTCAAAGTTTCTGACGAAAATATACATAAAATTCATAAATTCGATAAGATCATTAAAAATATACAATTACTAAGACAAGACGAGACTCATAAACTAATAATTTACATAATTCGGTAGAAAGCGATAAAACATCTATCTTAGCTCAATCAAAATTCAAATATATAAATTAAAAAATTAATACATAAATCAATTGATCACTAATACATTCAATAAAACGACGAACGGACGAAAATATATCTTGAAGAATTCTCAATTAACGAAATTCCATATTCAGTAAAAATTGAATCTGCGCCTCTTAATTAAATCTCTACATCCTCTTCTTAATGAGTTTTTCCAGTCTCTTAATTTTTCCAGCCTCCATCTCTGGGCTGTCCCTGACAAAGCCCTGAGCCTCCCCTGTACCTATATCGTTTCCCCCGATCCTAAATAGCTCGACAAGAGGAGTCTGTTCGTGTTTCTTCAGGCCCTTCATATCCAAAATTTTTTGGAACTCCTGTACCTGTAAATCAGGGAGAAGTCTCCGACACTGTTCGACAAAGGCCTCAGGTGGTTCAGTCGTCGACATGACGACCTTGAGAATCATTTCAGCTTTAGCCATTCCCTTGACAACGACCTTGGTGTAGGTGGCAGGAGCTTTCCTCGTCACCTGACAGCCAGTCGATGGTAAATCGAGGAGAGCAGTCTTCAGCATGTGAACATCCAATAACAACTGCTCAGCTCCAACTGCACTCAATGGTTTGCATCTGTATAGCTGTTGGACGAGCTTGGGAATAAAGGAGCTCGCAAATTTCACACACAACTGAGTAAAGTATTTCCTGCAGGAGGACAATCTGTCCCTGATTGCTGGTATCGTCTGTCTCAAATGAGCGACAATTGTGCTGACGTAGGGGCTCTGATCGCCAACCCCTTCGATTGCAGCCCAAGGGATCTTTATCATGGCTATCAAGGCCGACTCACAGGCAGCCTCCAGGTCCTGAACAAGTAACTGAATACAATTGGAGATAACGTTGTGAAAAATGTCCTGCTCCTGGGACAGATTAATCTTATCTGAGAACAGTTTATCTGTTTTTTCCTTCAATTTCTCCTCCAGCTGCTGAGTTGTCTCCAAGCAGTACTCAGCTGTTGTCAGAATACAACAGATTCTCGATTGCTCCTCTTTACTGAACCTAGTGATCTCCCCCTCTTTCAGAAAACTCTGAAAGTTCTGGATAAATCCAGCAGTGGATAAATCCCTGAAATCCCTCGTGATGCTGCTCATGCTGGTCCCCAGACTGGTGCCTCCCATCTTTGGTAGATTATTTTGAAGGAGCTTGAGGGCATATTCCCGCAGATACTTCTGAAATGTCTCAGCGAGGCTGAGCATGATGGGTCCTGTGCTGAGTTGAGTGCACTGGAGCATGCATTTTTTATAAAAAACGAATAGATCAGCGCACGATGATAAAACACTGCTGGGTCCCTCGACTCCATCAAAATCCTTGGCCCCTGGAGGTTGACTCTTGCAATCAGCCACGAACTTCTCCATCAAATCAGCGAGATTTCTGTCTAGACTCTCAATGTAAATATTGAGATAAGGCTCGAAGCACTTTCCCACTAGGTTAGCAAACGGAGTGAAAGCTGGTTTATCATTTTCACTCTTTTCGATGTTCTCCTCCTCGAAGGGATTTCCAGGCACCTCTTCTGGACGAGACTCCACTGCGACAACCTTCCTGGGATCAGAGCCCTCGAGAGTAACTCCGGAAAACCTTTTCGCCAGGAGGTTCTCAAAATTCGTAGTCCTCTGAATGGCATACAGCAACAATTTAACGTCAATCTCCACTCGTCTCTTCTGCATCAGCTTAGATAGATCTTCTCGGGTCACATTGCAGAATTGAACAGCAATTCTCTCGGATATCTCCCAGTCCAAGGGAAAAATATTTCCAAACTTCTGCTCAAAGTCCATCAAATGTTTCTTGATCCAGGTGTATCGTTTATCAATTTTGTCCAGCCACGCAATGTCCTGATTCTCGTCGAAGAGGTGAGCGTACTCCTGGAGTTGGACCCCAACGAACCACGTGAGAAGGTCCTTTTTCACCTTTGGATCCAACACAGAGAGTACCAGACAACCCTCAGTTAACTGAGCAAAGTGCTTGGGATTCTGGCCTGAGAAAGCTTCTTTGAAGTCCGATGTAATCTGCTGGGCAAGCTCTATCTCTATTTGATGAACTTCACTCGATAATTCTTTAATCTGAGGAATGTCCATGTACGAGCTGAAGTACTGCATCACTTCCATGATGGCTTGGAGCTTCAGAACAATCTCTCCGTACTGTTTCTTCTGGGTGAGACTCTTCAAACTGTCGACCTCACCCACTAGAACGTGCAATTTATTCAGAGAGGTGATAGACGCTGTGAGATTTCTCTTCGCAAAGTCCAGTTGTTTTATGTCTCGTGTGATCTCTTTAACGGTCTCCTCGGACTGTTCGGCCTTGTCTTTTATATCCTTTATGTGGAGAAATAGCTGGCGAATGACTTTTTGTGCGTCATCCAGTGCTGCTCTACCGTCCTGACCGACATTTGTCTGTCCTCTGACGACTGAACGAATCTCTTTGTCGATAGAGCAAATCCTGTACTCCATTTCATTCACGACGTCGTCGATGTTCGAGAGAGACTGCTCCGTGGGGAAGAGGGAGTTTATGTAGTCCACTACGTTGAAGTTGGGCTGATCTAGAGGATCAGAGCTTGGTAGAACCTAGAAATAAATCCGTAGTTAAACATGAGTGACAGTACAATTTCATGGCAATATCTTCAAAGAAGAAATGGAATAGCTTCCTGTCATGCTGATAGATTCCAAGGGTTAATAACCTGTTCAATGACACTCTGCACACTCTCGGGGAAGGTGTAAACCGTCGACTGCAGTTCCTCCATGTCATCATCCTCATTAATCCCCATCATTCTTAAATAATAACAGACAGAACAACCCTCAATAAACCACTACAAGTTAAAATTCACAAAAACATCCACATTTTGCTCCGAAATGAGCTGTCACCTCTCCCAGCTGGTGACAGCCGACAGGTGCTCCAAAATGTCCAGGCGATCTCTACTTTGCCGGTGATGAACGATCGAAACTCCTACGACACCTTTGGGCGATGCAATGAGGATAAACCTGACGATGCATCAAGTCATCGTCAAACAATTATAAACTGAAACCAGTCGGGAGTCAATTGTGAAGTGAAAACGTGTCATGGAGCAGCTGTATAAAATCGCCGCATAATCCCCTCTGGATTAAATAGAGTATTGAATTTGTACTTGAAGAGATGGTGTAAAACGTTTGAGGAGATACAGAGAAATATTATTTAAGTAAATATTCTGTGGCAATGAGGATTTTGAGGATGAGACGAAGTCGCATGACGAATGTCCTTATTGGGTTGACAGTTGCGGTGTTAGTACTTTATGCTATTTATTCGTACATCTCTCCAGATCATGTTAATAATATGAAGGATTATTGGCCTGAGAGACTCCGGGGTGTAAAGGTGAGAAAGGATTTATCGGTTTTCATAGGTTTTAAGGATTGCGAGATAGCGAGGGAAGCATACCGCATTTGTTGCACGTGCAGAGATATATTTTTGTAATACCTAGAGGGAAAACATATTTTTACAGATGTATATGCTTTTACGTGGGTGTTATTTTATTGTTTCAAAGGTCAATGAAAATTCATTTTCTTTTTCTTCAACTTTAAAAAACCGTTCTCATAGAAACCCTTTCCTCCTCAGGTTCCTCGATTTATAGAAGGTCTAGGTAATTTTGAGCCGAGAGACGTGAAGCCCCGGAAAGGTCCGGGTGAAGGCGGCAAGGCGCACACTCTCCGCGACGACCAGCAGAACGATGTCCAGCAGTCAGAGTCAGACTATGGAATGAACATGGTGTGCTCCGATGAGATCTCCCTCGACCGAAGTATCCCCGACATTCGACCGGAGGAGTGCCAGCACTGGGACTACCCGGAGCATCTTCCAACGACAAGTGTAATCATCGTATTCCACAACGAGGGATGGTCAGTTCTGCTGCGGACAGTTCACAGTGTGATAAATCGTACGCCTCCTCAATTTCTCGAGGAAGTACTCCTGGTGGACGACTACTCGGACAAAGAAAACCTGAAGAGCGATCTGGAGTCGTACATCGAGAGATGGAACGGCAAAGTTCGACTGCTCCGTAATACTGAGCGTCAGGGACTCATCAGAACTCGATCCCGAGGGGCTAGAGAGGCTCGTGGAGAGGTAATCGTCTTCCTCGATGCTCACTGCGAAGTCAATATAAATTGGTTGCCTCCTCTACTGGCGCCAATAGCTGTTAGCAACACTGTCATGACAGTTCCAATAATCGATGGTATTGATCATAAAACATTCGAATACCGGACTGTCTATCAGGAGGGACATCTCTACCGAGGGATTTTCGAGTGGGGGATGCTCTATAAGGAAAATGAAGTCCCCAAGCGAGAGCTGAAGACAAGAGCTTACTCCAGTGAGCCGTACAAATCCCCTACCCACGCTGGAGGTCTCTTTGCCATCAACAAGAAATTCTTTCTATCCCTGGGGGGCTACGACGAGGGTCTCCTCGTCTGGGGTGGTGAAAACTTCGAATTGAGTTTCAAGATCTGGCAGTGTGGTGGTAGCATTGTGTGGGTGCCCTGTTCCCACGTGGGCCACGTCTACAGGGGATTCATGCCCTACAATTTTGGAAAGCTCGCACAGAAGAAAAAAGGGCCTCTCATCACTATAAATTACAAGAGGGTCATCGAGACCTGGTTCGACGAGAAGCATAAGGAGTTCTTCTACACGAGGGAACCACTTGCCAGGTTACTGGATCATGGGGATATCAGTGAACAACTGAAGTTCAAGAAGGAGAAGAAGTGTCAAAACTTTCAGTGGTTTATGGACAATGTTGCTTATGATGTGCTGGATAAATTTCCAGAGTTGCCTCCGAATATTCATTGGGGAGAGCTGAGGAGTGCAGCGACTTCTGCCTGTCTCGATACTATGGGACAGGCACCTCCCGCTCTCATGGCAACTGCACACTGTCATGGATATGGGAATAATCAGCTGATCAGGCTGAATGCCAAGGGCCAGTTGGGCATCGGGGAGAGGTGTGTCGAGGCTGACAGTCAGGGAATTAAACTTGCCTTCTGCCGGCTTGGCACTGTCGATGGACCCTGGCAATACGACGAGAAGACCAAGACTCTTATTCATAGGGTTTATAAAAAGTGCATGGCACTGCATCCACAGACTCGACAACTTTCACTCATGCCGTGCGATGTCAATAATGTTTATCAGCAGTGGAGTTTTCACCAGATACATCCGCGCTGGTGAAAGTCAGAGGATCATCGTTACGCACAGTTTTTATTAATGAGTACTTAAGACTATATTTCGATTTTTGGTGGATGGCGAGTGGAAGGGGGAAAGTAGCTGTTATAAAATGATGAGTTGAGTCTGAAAATTCTCATCATTATTTTTGTTTGGGGAAATTTTTAATGAATGGAACAAAGTATCACTGAATTTTTAAGGGGAAAATAATTTCTATAGTAGAGGTATTGTCGTACTTCGTTTTAATTCGTGAGTAGGCCTTTCTAATTTTATGAGCCCAAGACTAAATAGTTCTCTCACATTTTTATACAAGTAAGTGCAAATGCATTCCGCCAAATGATTCCTCATGATTTTTAATATAGTGTTTCTACCTGCCTCTATTTTTGGGACTCTTCAACATGTAGATCTTCCACTTTATGTGATCTGGGGCTTCGAGATTAGTTAAATTCTTGGTATACGATTTATGGAAATTCCGATGATGTACAGTGAATCATTTACTCGTCTAAGATTGAGGCAAAGTATTTTCGTTAAACTATTGGAATTGATTAATACTAAATATGCTCCTGTAAACTTCGAACAATAATTACATTAATATTTTTTACATTGACTTCATGGAAAGCTGACTGACAAAAATCATTCGTGATTGATTCGATCCAACTATTGATTCACTTGTACTCAGCTCACGTAATTTAATATGTAAAGAATGACTATTTTATTACAAAATAAAAGCTGTTTACATTTCCATCACTGTTTCCAGTTACTCTCCCGAAAAAAAAACAGATAAATAATCGCACTTGTGCGCCACATGACTAAATCAATCAAATCATTAAGAAAACAATCAAAACTCCCACACAAAAAATAAATGTTGAATAACTTTATTTATCGTATGAAAGCAGTTGAAAGAAGCGGGAAATCCCATGGATTTCTCACAATTCCAAGATTGGACAAATGAATGTATTCCATAGATGAAAAAAAATGGAAAAATTATCACTTATTGCTGTGTATTGACAATGTCATCGATCTTCAGTATACTCCTGACAGTTTCAGAAGCCAGAGTGATACAGCTAGTGGACACCAGCAACGGCTGGACGACATTCTCCTCCAGAATATTAGTGATGGTCCCCTTTCTGACATTGATTCCAGCAGTGACTTCACCCTGTGCATGCCGATTTCTCAGTTCCGTCACCGTAGCAATGGGATTGAGACCTGCATTCTCAGCAAGTGTCGATGGAATGATCTCTAAGGCATTGGCGAATGCCTTGATGCAGTAAGCATCGACACCCCCGAGAGTTTGCGCATAGGCTGAAAGTTTCAGTGCCAGTTCAATCTCAGGGGCTCCACCACCCGCGATCAACGCCTGCTGCTTGACGAGACAACGAATAACGCAGAGGGCATCGTGGAGAGAGCGTTCAGCTTCTTCCAGAACGAGCTTATTACTGCCACGAACGAGAACAGTGACAGTGCGCCCGGGATTTTGAATGCCAGTTATTCGGACGAACTTTGAGGCCCCAGTCTGCACCTCTTCGACATGTTCAGCAGAGACTAGATTCTCAGCTGTGAAATGATCGAGAGAAGCAATTGGCCTGCAACCCAGAGTCTTGCAGACGAAGGAGATATCCTCACGCTCGACATTCTTAATCACCATGACCTTGATCTTATCCAAGAAGTGAATGGCAAGGTCACTGATTGCGTCACGAAGAATTGACTTCTGAACAAGGAGAACGTTGCAGCCGGACTTCTTGATTTGTTTGACAATATTCAGAATGTAAGCACGTTCTTCCTTGAGGACTCGATCCATTGCGGAGTAATCTGACACCACGACGTTGTGATCCATATTGGTTTTTGGGGGTGAAATGCAAAATTGGATGAGACCGATCTTCGCTTTCTCGATTTTTTTGGGACCGTTGACGTTGCAGGACTTCTGAGTGAAGACCAGGCCCTCGATCAACTCTGTGTCCTCGACGGTGCCCCCCAGCTGCTTAATCACCTTGATGTCACTCAGGTCTGTAGATTTTTCATTTTCAGGCTCTGTGATCTTCAAGACTGCATCGACCGCGAGGGGAGCGAGAAGAGAGGACTGTTGGAATACAACTTTTGAATTTAAGGAGGTCGCTGCAGCTTTTATGAGGGACTCCCTGTCGCTCAGGTCAACTGGAATTGCCATGGACCAGAGGAGAATCTCTACGGCTTTCACTGCGGCCTTCTGGTAGGCCTCGCTAATCGCTGTTGGGTGAATTCCCTTTCGCAGCAACATCTCAGCTCCTTCTAGGAGAGAGCCTGCTACCACTACTACACTTGTTGTTCCGTCACCTGCTTCAGAGTCTTGGGCTTTTGATAGTTCTACCAACTAAAAAAAATTATTCCATTGTATCCACAATTGACTGAGGTTTCATATTTCCTCTGAAGTACCTATTGTACTTTCTCATTCACACCATCATTTAATCTCATGAATTTTCATTTTGTTTATTTACCATTTTAGCTGCCGGATGGATAACATTCATTTGTTGGAGAATAGTTGCACCATCATTTGTGATTGTGACTTCTCCATTTCCCGCTTGGATCTAACATAAAAAATGACACTTATTACAATCACAAAAAATCACCGGATGTGACGGTTGTTCATTAATTCAAATGAAAAATTTTAGAATTGACAGTTTATTCACCATTTTATCCATTCCACGGGGGCCCAAACTAGTACGAATCGCATCACAAACGGCTGTGGAGTAAAAAAGATGTGATGAAGAGGAATAAAACAAGTGAATTGGCCGGTGTGTGGGTTATGCCCATAAAAGGCAAGATTTGTGCTCCAAGAACGGAGTAATGTCTTACCAATCAAAAACATGATTTGCAGAAATATTTGACATGACTACATATGACAAGTACCTTTGGCAGCCCCAATGTTGCTGCTGCGGATGTCCCTCGGTTTTGTTCTGTCCTGGAAGGCTTTTCCATGAGCCTGGGTGCGTCCTGGCTCGCCGACTTTGCTCAATGCCGTCATTTTTCCCTGAATATCGGTTGTACTGACCCTCTGAATATTAAAGACAACTCTAAAAATTAATTTATTATTTTTTCTCCAATATCTGTGAGTCTCGAATCGATTTGTACATTCGCTCGTCAACTTACTGTTTTGTAAAATTTTTTAATTGTAATGAATTGTCGCAGAGTCAATCAGCACGAGGTAATTTCAGCGTTGGACATGGACAACATAAAACAGACTGGAGAATTCGAGAATCTTATACAAAAAGAATTCAATTGTCAACCAGGGAATATATAGAATATGTAGTTCTGGGGGTTTGAGTGACCCCAGCGGCATCGTAGTACTGCACCCCAAGAGAGGGAGGGCGCAACACGCAATGCTGGGGTGTCCATCAAATCGATGGGGTGACTTTTATTTTCTGCGGTATGAATGCTTTTTGTTTTTTATTTGTTTAACTGAAATTTAGTTGACTGCAGAACGAGCGGAAGGGAGAAGCAACATCTTGTGGAGTATCAAATGAAAAAAATTATTTAATGTATTGAAGATATACTACTAATGAAAATTTATATTTATAATAAGCGCGTTGTCTACTCGGCAGCGTGCTTGGCTAGCACGCC